TGGGGGGGGCTCGGGGGGTTTTGGGGTGCCCCAAATCCATTTTTGGGGTGCCCTGAGGGGTTTTGGGGTGCCCTGAGGGGTTTCGGGGTGCCCTGAGGGGTTTTGGGGTGCTTTGAGACCCCCTTTTACCTCTCCCCCCATTGGAGGATCTGCTTGACCCCAGAGCACCTGGAGGGGATTTGGGGGTACCTGGGGGGGGCTCGGGGGGTTTTGGGGTGCCCCAAATCCATTTTTGGGGTGCCCTGAGGGGTTTTGGGGTGCCCTGAGGGGTTTCGGGGTGCCCTGAGGGGTTTTGGGGTGCTTTGAGACCCCCTTTTACCTCTCCCCCCATTGGAGGATCTGCTTGACCCCAGAGCACCTGGAGGGGATTTGGGGGTACCTGGGGGGGGCTCGGGGGGTTTTGGGGTGCCCCAAATCCATTTTTGGGGTGCCCTGGAGGATTTTGGGGTGCCCTGAGGGGTTTCGGGGTGCCCTGAGGGGTTTCGGGGTGCCCTGACGGCCCGGGTTTGGCAGCTGATGGAGGAGCTGGCGGACGCGCTGCTGTACTGCCACGGGCGCAAGGTGATTCACCGCGACATCAAACCCGAGAATCTCCTGCTCGGCCTCAAGGGGGAGCTCAAGATCGCGGATTTCGGGTGGTCCGTGCACGCCCCCTCCCTCAGGTGAGACCTGACACACCTGGGGACACCTGGGGACACCTGGGACAGGTGGGACACACCTGGGGACACACCTGGGGACACACCTGGGGACACCTGGGACACACCTGGGACACCTGGGACACACCTGGGGACACACCTGGGACAGGTGGGACACACCTGGGGACACACCTGGGGACACCTGGGACAGGTGGGACACACCTGGGGACACTCAGTGACACACCTGGGACACACCTGGGCACACCTGGGACACACCTGGGACATACCTGGGACACACCTGGACACACCTGGGACATACCTGGGACGCACCTGGGATATACCTGGGCACACCTGGGACACACCTGGGCACACCTGGACACACCTGGGACACACCTGGACACACCTGGGACACACCTGGGACACACCTGGGCCACACCTGGGACACACCTGGGACAGGCAGGGAGCACCTGGGAGAATCTGAGTGCCCAGCTGTGTCCAGGTGTGTTTTTAACCCCTCATGTGCCAGACTCTGTGCATCACCTGGGATTACCTGTGCCAGGTGTAGGGTTCTGTGAGCACCCAGGTGTGCCCAGGTGTGTTTTAACCCCTCAGGCGCCGGACGCTGTGCGGCACGCTGGATTACCTGTGCCAGGTGTAGGGTTCTGTGAGCACCCAGGTGTGCCCAGGTGTGTTTTAACCCCTCAGGCGCCGGACGCTGTGCGGCACGCTGGATTACCTGTGCCAGGTGTAGGGTTCTGTGAGCACCCAGGTGTGCCCAGGTGTGTTTTAACCCCTCAGGCGCCGGACGCTGTGCGGCACGCTGGATTACCTGCCCCCGGAGATGGTGGAGGGCAGCAGCCACGACGAGAAGGTCGACCTGTGGTGCCTGGGGGTGCTGTGCTACGAGCTGCTGGCCGGGCACCCGCCCTTCGAGAGCCCCTCTGCCGCCGATACCTACCGCAGGATCACTCAGGTGAGCTCACCTGGCCACACCTGGGCACACCTGGGCACACCTGGGCACTGAAATCCCCGTCAAACTGCCCCAAACCAACCCAAACTGAGCTAAACCCACCCAAACTGCCCCAAACTGCCCCAAACTGCCCTTGGAGAGCCCCTCTGCTGCCGATACCTACCGCAGGATCACTCAGGTGAGCTCACCTGGGCACACCTGGGCACACCTGGGCACACCTGGGCACTGAAATCCCCATCAAACAGCCCCAAACTGCCCCAAACTGCCCCAAACCAGCCCTTAGAGAGCCCCTCTGCTGCTGATACCTACCGCAGGATCACTCAGGTGAGCTCACCTCGGCACACCTGAGCTCACCTGGGCACACCGAGACACACCTGTGCCCATCCCCCAATATCCCTGAGCTCACCTGTGCCCCCCTGAGCTCACCTGTGCCCACCAGTGCCCCTCCCCCCGCAGGTGGACCTGCACTTTCCCCCCGCACATTCCTGACCTCATTGTGCCCACCTGAGCTCACCTGAGCCCACCTGTTCTCACCTGTGCCCACTTGTTCTCACCTGTTCTCACCTGTTCTCATCTGTGCCCACCTGTTCTCCCCTGTGCCCACCTGTTCTCACCTGAGCCCACCTGTGCCCACCTGTGCCCACCTGTTCTCACCTGTGCTCACCTGTGCCCACCTGTTTTCACCTGTTCTCACCTGTTCTCACCTGTGCCCACCTGTGCTCACCTGT